TATATAAGAATTGTGTTAGTAATCGAATATAAAGAATTAGAATTCATTAATTAAATAATCAAGAAGAATTTAACTAGATATATATATATATATTTGTTCAGATTCTATTATAGTGATATAATCACCTCCTCTTCTTCTTCTTCCTCATTATATTTCTCTTGTTCATTTTTATTTAATTCAGAATCAGTAGCAGATGTATCCTTGTTTTTCAAAAAACAAAAAAATATAATTTAAAAAAATAACAATCTAATAAATATAGACAAAAAAAAAATCCTTTTTTTCCTTACATCTCGTGCATTTTTTTCTAATTCTTTATGTCGTAATTGACGCGCTTCACGGTTTTGTTCACGTTGATTTTGTAAACGAAGTTCGGCCTTGATATAAATAACAGATAAATAAAGATCAATTAATTAAAGAAATATAGTTAGATACAAACTTCTTTAGCAATAGCATCAAGTGCATGTTCTTCAGCAAACGACGTGCTGTGTTGATCATGAACTTTAGTTGGTGCTGTCACTGCAGCTGATTCTCGATATCGACTCGATGTCGAAGAACTCATCACATTGCCCTTAACTAAAAACGAAATGTTAATGAGAATTTTTTTTGTATTTTATGATCAATATTAGATTTTACTTAATCAAATCGAATTTTATTGTATTGATTTAATGAGGATAATAAATAAAAAAAAATCAACGATAGACGCAATAATCAACAACGAAAACAGGTGAAATGTGTAGAGACGGAGGAGGAGAAAAACGGATGTTAAGGTTAAAATCATCTTATTGGATAATTATTCAACCATTATGACCTTTCACATGACTCGTTCGGATTTTTTTTATATCAATAAGAAAATATTTCAATGAATAAAAACGATTTTGAAATAAATTAAAACAAATCTTTGTTTTGCCTCGTAAAATACCATAGATGTCGCAAGATGATGAATATCGAAGAGAATATCATCAAACAATGTTTAACTATATATTAACGAAGAAGTCTTCTGATACCTTTTGTAAGCATATATCTTCATTCATTTAAAATTCTTATCGTATTATTATTCATGATTCTATAAAATTTCATCTTGAAGAAGAGTACTGTTCGACATATTTGTTAAACGAAAATCTTCTCAAGTCGATCATTCCGACCGCCTTAAACTGCCCAAAAACGATGTGATTACTGCCCTCAACGATGTAAAACGACGGCCGTTTTTTTCGCCTTTTTCCGTCAGCTGGGATTACGAGCTGTTTTTCTTCGGAACGCAAACGATGGCGTTTAAGGTCATTTCCGACGAGTAACGATGAGTAGTATCAGGACTGCATTCTCGCCGTAGTGTTGTATTTACACGGCTTTTTTCTCGTTTACGACTCTATTTATCTACTGCTCCATGGCGAGCATTATAACAGTTGTTAATGGTCGCATACGACGTCGTTTGTCATCATATTCGGTTAAGTCTCTCCTCCTCACCTTCAGTAAACACAAGAAATAAAATTTGTTTATTTACATAAAGTACTTACTCTTGAATATTTGATTGAGATAAATCTAAAATAAAAAAAACATACATATATTTATTTAAATAAAATGTGCGTATCAATGCGTATTGAAAGAAAGTGTTTCAAGGTTGCAAACTTTTTGAAAGATTATTGTTTCTAAGGAAATTTTTTCATGTGGGAATATGAATAAAGAAATATTTCTCTTGTAATAATAAGAGTATAAGTTTCATGCACAATTTCTATGATTCATTTCTTGATAGAAAGTTTCGAAACAGCTTCTATTAATTCATGATTAATAAAGGTTAGGTTTTTTATACGTGACCTTTTTGTGTGTGTAAACTAAATTGATTTTTCTTTCGCTTTCTTTTTAATGTGTGCATGAAAAAGGGGATTCGGATTTTCATTTGTTTTGATAGAAAGAGAAATTTTTCGTTCTAACAATAGATTGTGCATCTTTGAAATTTAGACTCATTTCTTTAAATAAACAAGTTTTGAGAATAGTTTTTCTCATATATCGACATCGTTCAGCTTATCATTTAGTGTTAACACTTATGTTCATACTGTTCGACAACCAACATGATTAGCTTCTAAAGAAATGCATTGATGTCTTACATAGACTTATGTAATCACATTGCATATTAGTAATACTTATGTTTCTTTTAACATTGATTAGTTTTACACTTGACATAACAAATTTAGCAATAAATAGCTCTGATTCATTATTTAATACTGTATTGACTAATATAGAAACTTGATGTCTGTTAAGCTTCATTATTGACATTGGGTTTTTTTTATGTATCTTCTAAGTAAATGTTTGAAAATAGTATATGATATAATGAGATTTGTTTGCTCAATGATATCAAGAGTTTCAACTAAAATATTCAAGTTCTTAAAAGTCAATAAACGATAGCAATTATAACACGGCTTTGTTTTTTAAATATAAATTGTTTCTAACAAATTAAATTTACACAACACTTATGTATTTTTGTGTTCTTCGTAATTATATAAATCCAGTTCATATGCTTGTTTTTCTATTCTTGTAAGATCTCTCATATAATGATATTATATTTAAAAACAAACGAAATTAACTTAAAATCCTACAGATCTTTTTTTCTATATAAGAACAGATTTTTGATATGTTATTTCTAAGCAGTTAATATAATATCTGAATTATATCAAATTTATGATAAAGTCATATTTTATCTCTTAATGATGATAAATAAAAGTTGTAAATAATAAATCTATATATACATTATAATGAAAAGGAACCTATTTACTCCAAGAGCTCGAAAATAGTTGTGAGAATGTTATTTGAATTTGATAGTTTAAATAAAGTTATAATAATAATAGATAAAGTTAGGATCGTAAAACTAACTTGATTAAGTGAGTTTTCTTGAAAGAAACAATGTCATTGTATAATGCAGTTGTGTTTTTTATCAATGAAATTTTCACGTTGTATCAATATTATTATTTGATTCGTTTCAAAAGAATTCTTCTCTTCTTGCATGACGTCCATTTACACAGACAAAACAATAATAATTACACTACATTGGATTAATTTTTGTTACTTAATGCTATAGTCATATTTATTGACGTTGTCATAAAAGGAAGAATATTATTATTATTATATTCTATGAAAGAACAATTAATTATAAGTATAGGTTTGAGTGTTAAGGAAAATCTTCTGTCTGAGTTGAGCATGTTTCTCATTTTTCGTTTAGTATTAATATTATGAAATGCTAGAAAAATTTTTCTTACAATGAACAACAATGTTGTTATAGTTGATGCTATGGTTGAGCTTTCTAATTGTGTTCCTTGATTATATTATTCGAAAGATGTTTTATTAATTTTGTAAAGTCTTAATAATTGAATTCAAATTATTCAAATGAAAATATATGGATTGAGACATGCTTAAAATAGAATTTTCTCTATGTATATTATGAGAAAAAGATACATTGTGTATAACATTACTGTATTCAATTCTGTAATTAGAACATTTCAATGAAAGATTATATTACATGAAAAATATGTTTTTTTTTGTCATTTGTATGATACCTTATTGCTGATTGGTTCTCAGTAATTGCAGGAAGTGTCGTTGTAGTATAAACAATATTGTTAATGTAATCATTTTCCCAATTTCAGAACATGTGCAAAATAAATATTTATCGAACTAATCTTATTATGTTTTTAGTCGAATATATCGTCGTCGAAAGAGTACTCTTTTAGAATTTACTAGAGAAAGGTCATAGGTATGTTATTTTTCAGTAATTTTAAAAAATGAAATGAATATTATAGTTTTCATAATAATCATACTGATGATTGATATCAATTTTCGTCAAGTCACGTATGAGAATGTAGTAAGACAGACAGTTTTTGTATCTTAAAGAATATCTGAAACATTCATAAAATCTTACAATATTTGAAATATTTAGTTCTCAAGTTACAATGTATATCTGATCATTAGATTCTAGAGAAAAGAATGACATTGTCTTCGGTCTTATACATTAAACAGACTACTACCACGTAGTTACATAGTCAACTGTTTTATTTCATCATAAGTTTCTCCTTTTAGGATTATGATATTGTCTAGGGGTTCTGCTCGAAGAGTAGTAATAATAAATGACAGATTGTTCAATAGTGCAATCTAAGTCAGTTTTGAGATCCCAAGTGAGATTTGTCACTGGATAAGGTAAACAAAAATTTAACATATTTTGTTGGTTTAACTAAGTGGAAATATACAATAGAATTTGATTTATTATTATAATTAAGTTATGAAGAGAAAAGAAAAACCTTTACTGATTTTAATATAACAATACTAACGAAACATTTATGAAACCAAAATTAATTCAATTAACATGCTTAACTCTATGAACGACTTATTTAATTTTCTTTCATTTGATTATTTACAAAATTGTTGGATAAGAAGATCGAAAGTATTATTATATTTTATATTCATACTACTATTTATACAGAATAATAAATTTATGAGTTTATTTTTCACAAGAAAAGAACAATAAGGACTTTATTTGATTATAATTATAAAATATTTTTTATCTCATGAAAATAATGTTAAGAGTCACCTGTCAATAATAGACATCAGAAATAAATATACAACAATAGCTGACTGAAATTACAAAAGGCACAATAGAAAACATAAAATATCCGTCGTTCTGTTTAATAATTAAATCTCGTATTGTTAACACTACACAAGCAAATATCTATTTTTTTTAAACGAACTACAAATAAAGATTCAATTAGTAAAGTTCTCAATAGTATACTCTACAATGAGATATCAACAATGAATATAAAATATTTTTATATAAACATTTAACATAAATTAATTATAATTTATTAAAAGAAAATACATTTGTGAGTTGCATCAAGCCATAATCTAGGCTCTATTGTCATTAATAATTTTATTTCTTTCTTTTTTGTTTCTCAACATTTTAAATAAAACGTATTAGTCATAAATCTTCATTATAAAATAAATAAATATTTCAAAAAGTAATAATCTTAAACAGTTTTCGTTGCTTTGATAGCAAATGTCATAGGTATTTTCTTTTCTAAACCTTTTATTTGATAAAATCCATCGTCTGTCTTAACACTATTTAGAAAACAATCATATGATGAATAATCAAATTCTTGTAGAACATTAATTCGAAGATTATGATTAATAAGTGCTTGAATAATTTCACTAAGACTATGATTCCATTCAACACTTAAATTTGATATTGGAGCATTACGATTAGCATAAGTACCATTACATTGACAAACAATCGTTCTCTGATTAAAATATGATTCTTCAATATGTGTAAACATTTCATCAAACATCCATAAAACAGGATGAAATTCTGCTATAATAAAAATACCATTTGGTTTCAAATATTGAGAAATTAAAGATGCCCATTTATTAATATCAGGTAACCAACCAACAACACCATATGAAGTAAAAACAATATCAAATAATTCATCTTGTTCACATGATAAATGTTCTTGTAAATCATAGATATTACAACAGATAAATCTTATTGATGTTGTAAGATTGAGAGTTTCAGCTAATTCTCGAGCTTTATCAATAGCTCGATTAGATAAATCAACTCCAGTAACATGTTGTGCACCATGTCGAACAAGTGAAATTGAATCAAGTCCAAAATGACATTGCAAATGAAGAATACGTTTACCTTGTAAGTCACCTAATAAATCAATTTCAATTTTATTTAATGAATCAGCACCATCAAGAAAACCAGCAACATTGTACATTGGTGATACAACATGATAATTAACTTTATCATTCCATAAACGACGATTAATATTGACAAAATCAGCTATAGCACTATCCTTATCAGTCATGTTAGTGGAATAAAAAAAAAACGTGCTTTGATGTATTACTTTTATTCACGATTGTAATTTCATAATATTTATTTTTCTTATCCCATTTATATTTGCCTTTGTCACTAGAATGAGATAAACAACATGAGTCAGAATTGTATGAAAAAAATTAGCTAAGAACCAATGACGAAAACAGAAAAATAGGTTACTTTTAAATAAAAAGATAATCCATGTATAAAGAGTAATTTTGAAATTTAATATACTTCAAAATTATATTACAATGAAACGTCTGATGATATTAAGAATACACTCTTTCAATAATGAACAATTCAACTGTGAAAAATAATCAACATGATTAATCATTCTATAAGGAACTTTAAAAAAACAGGGATATCTCGAGCGAGGAGTTAATCCTCCCGGTCTTGAAAAATTTTCGTTTTTCTTCAACGAAATTCTAGCATTTTATTGCTAACTAATTTCCAAAAAAGAAAACATTCAAACCTCCGTCCGAGCTAGGTCAACTTTGACAGAAGCCTTCTAATCGGCTTCCTCAGTCATAGGTCCCTTCCCTCATCAAACCTGGCAACCTTGGGACACCTCTGCTAAAAAAAAGTTGCTTTTTCTGTCAAATGGTTTGCATACGTTTCTCAATATCGTAAATGAAATCCATACATTTTCGCTGTTCAAAAAACCTACGTTGAAAATCAATGCATAGTAGGTCAAAAAATTACTAAATTGAATAAGCAACAAATAATAAGTCCGAAGTATTTGTGATGTTTGATAAGCTATATCAAATCGTTACTTTGAAATATTACTTTGACCTCCTATTGTTAGATCTCAGAGTCTAAAAATAAACAGTTAACTAACAGGAGTTCTTAAACAACCCTGCTGTTGTGGCATGCATAAAATGCATAGAAATAGCAAATATTTGTTACTTGAGTCATTTACATATGATCACCGTTTATCTTTAATGCTTTGCTAATTCATATATTTTGCATGTTTCTTTTTTTGCTTGATCACAAGTGATGTAGGACATTGAAAACTATGAAGTTTTTCCTTATTTACATTGGTAAATTCAATATTTTTAATAATGAAGAAATGATAATAGGACCTCTTCAAATCTAAGCTGTCATCTTACCTTGTTTTATACAAACAATATCAATCAAAATAAGTTCTTGTGCAAAATAAGACACTAATGGCATGACGGTAATAGAAATAGGGATGGCTGATCACTCATCCAGAGAATTAAATGAACTATTGTCTGTTAAAAAAAAATAATGATCGTGACCACTTTTGCAATAACTCAAGAAAGAAAAGAACTAGAGAGCTGCGATTTTCACCAGTCGAAAGAGACGACACTAGGACATCTTTTTCTCCAATACTGTATAAGACGAAATCATTTTAAAATCAAATGTTGTTACAAAACATCAAAAAAAAGGTACAAAAATTATCTGTTGTTCATATGAAATTTTGACAATAAGTAAGAAAATTTGTTT